TATGCTCGGTAAAGCAAATTCCCCTCCCTCAGCATTGGGTAACTTTTTAATATAATGAAATAATTTGTATTAATTAGCAATTTTTTTTCAATCAAACATCAATTCAAGAAGCCAAGATCATTGCCCCTATCCAATCAGACACAGAGGTACCACATATACCCACTGCTCCTGATAGGGGTGCTCAGGGCACTCTTTTTAAAGACAAACCCCAGACTCCGCCAGGTAGCAAACAGAAGTCAGAGCCTACTTTCCAAATCCAGTAACCCCAGAAGAATTATTTTACAAAGCAGCTCAGTTAAGACTGAATAATCACAACTACCTTTAGTCCTGTCACTTTACTGCTTCAGAAACAGCCAACTGCATTAAACCTTCCATGAAGTCTGACTATCGCAGCCTTTGACCGGAGAGTTTGGTGACAGAAAGTTCAGTAATGGTAAGAAAAGATAATTCAGACAATAAAACCATGCATCCTCGGTAACGGAATCCAACAAGCTGCCTTTCTCCCAGAAGGGACTTAAAACCCAAGAATTTCACTCTCTTGAGAAAGAGGAGTTTTTAACAGGCTCCTGAGCCTCATAAAAGTGCTCGGGAGTCTACACAAGAGTCACCCAGCTTTGAATGTCAGTGGATAATAACAGGAGCGTATGATTTCTTGTGGCTCGGAAACAACTGGGAGAGGATTAAAAGCAAAAAGCCCCATGAAGAAGAACTTGCTCAAGTATTATAGTTAAAAATGTCATGGAAAAGAGAGGAAAGAGGATATACATCCTAACTAGCCTTTCTTCTGTGACTGCCGGGTATAAAGTACCATCTGGTCACATAGTCACGAATGCATTCACATCCACTCCTGCTCCACAAAACACAGGCTGATGTGACTGCCAGCGTGAAGTCACTGAAAACAACTTAACTCCCTCTTCTTGATTTATATGGTTCTTCATCTGCCTTTGCCCCTGGTAGTTTGGAGGAGGAAAATAGGGCTTGCGTGCCATTAGGGGCACAGAGCTGAACACGACCGATTTCCACGGCAACAAGATACAGCCCCGGTGAGGAAGGCCTGTTAATAGCTGTGAGGCGATGTGCTCAGCACAACAGATTTTTCTATCAGCCAGTCAGAGATAGCAGCTCATGTTCATACACAAACGTGCAAGGAATCTGATTCTTGGCCTTGTACAACCCCACTGAATTCAGCCAGAGCTACGCCAATGTAGACCACAGCAAGACAGAGACGGTGTTAGCAGGAAAAATAAGTAGGCAATGTGGAGAGACGCTCCGCCTTTGAAAACAAAGTATGAGTACTCCTAGGACATTCCTCATTAACTGAATGTTTATTGTCAAACTGCAAGAAAAAACCCAGTTTCAGTGTGAAAGGGAAAGCAACTGTGCAATGCACAGATTTGTGCATACTGCACCATTACCTATAGCCCATGCTTTTACCTTTGACAAGTGCATACTTATACACAAGCCCAACCTCTTCCAAATAACCCTGCAGTTCAGAAAGGGAGGGAGCTGTAATCATCCCAAATTCTCCACTGAGAGAATCAATCATTTGTCCTTTGTAATTTAGGCTCCTTCCTATTAAAATACAGTTACCAACACTTTATAACATGATAATATCTTATGCACTCATTAGGATCCTACAAATTCAACTCTGCTCATAACAGACTGCTAGGTCTTCTGGCCACAATCATGATGGGCTTTGCCTTCATATGTAAGGATACAGTCTCCAAATACACTGAATTCAATAGGACAAGTCTCAGTTTTCAAAGCCAAGAGCACTCACAAGGCTTTGCAGGACCAGAGCCCCAGTGGGGAAGAGTTCATGCCATTAGCAAACTTTTTCAAGTCAAGCAGAAAAACAGCAACTGTCCCACTCACAGTGTATTCTCTGCTGGAAATGCACAAAAAGACATTTATAGCAAACAAAAAAATATGCCATGTACAGTTTATAAAAATATCTGTAACAAACTAAGAACAAAGCCAGAAACTGTCCAAGCAAGCTTAACTGGGCAGGAGGGAGAAGAGCAATTTCTTAGGCAATTTTGTACAGCAGAGCAGCGACAACCTCATCCTAATGAGGTTTTATTTAAGCCCTACAACTTCTCTTGCCACTGCCATAGGTAGAACTCAAAACAATTCAGAACTGAGACTCAAGGGAGGCACTGCACGCAAAGCTTTATTTTGTATTATGTGATAGGGCTGAAAAGCTACCAAACACCTGATTTGAATAAACAATCCCTGGGTTCACCCAAGCATCAGGGCTGACTCTGTGACAGGCTCATCCTTGTGCAGAGTCCTGCACATCAAAAGGATGACAACTGCCTCACAGCTTCAGCATTTTAAGTCGATGGTTTCCTGATTGCCTCGGTGTGTGGAAAGCTTAAAGCACATGAGTCCCGAGGCCACTTGCTTTGCTTGAAAAGAAGAGTGGTGCCTTGTATTGCTGTTGTTTATACAGATATGGTAATTAAAAACTGCACTGTAATACATTCGATAATAGTCTTATTGTTCCCATGAACTGATCTGCTTCAGTTAAACATGATATCACAGCTAAATAATAACCTGCATTTGCACTTTTGCCATACTTTTTTTCTGGCTGTATATGGACTCTGGGCTTCTTCACTGTAGATATTTCCAGCACATCTTAGAGCAAAACACCTTCCTGCTAAACCAGAAGCCTATCCCACATTCGCGAGGAGTATGCTTTCCGACGCCCAAGCTCTGCGCTGACACGGAACCCGGACTCGAACTCAGAGTGACACACAAGGATAACCTCTAGCTCATAAAAACAGCCAGACTCTCCACACATTTCTCAGTAACATGGCAGCACGCACAGATACCGTTCCACAGGTGTGCTTAGCACAAGGCTGTTTACATTAAATACAGCTGAAGGGCATTAGCAGGGCTGGCTGACAGTGCTGGAGCAGCTGTCATGGGAACCCAGTAAGGCACATTTCTTATATGTTTAGAGCCTTAACTTAGCAGAAATGAAAAAACAGCAAAGCTATGGAAAAAGGCAAGATAACAGGGGCTAGCTACCACATTGGACAACATCCCACCTGGCAGTAGTAACCAAGGGGTTCAACAGAAAGCCCTGTCAGCCTTCCAGCATCAGGCAGGCCTGTGGAAGTCGGACAACACTGCTTCCCTCGCCCTTCAATGCTGAGCGCACACCCAAACCACTCAGGGCTTGCCTACCTGTTTCAGGAGGAACTTATCCTCTGCGTTGATCTTGAGGGAGACGGCCAAGTGGATGGCAGAGAGCACCACCCCGCTGATGACCGCGGCCCTCATCCGCACGGGCAGCAGTGTGTAGATGCTGTAGATAAAGAAGACGGTCCACCAGATGCCCTCCGAGGCGCTCCTGGGCCACACCAGCAGAACTCCTACAACTTGCACGGCCAGGATCACCAGGATGACAGAGTAGCATGCCAACCACATGTGGTCCTGGTGGAAGTCGTTGCGGTTGCACACCATGCACAGCACCACCATCAGCAGGATAGCCAGGGAGAGCACCACGACGTAGGATACCTCATAGTGGCCGTGCGCCGCATGGAAGATCAGCATGACCACACAGACCAGCACCAGCACGGCCATGAGCATGGTGAGGCTGCTCTGGTTAAGCCGAAAGAAGTAGCGCTGGTAGAGGCGTTCCAGTTTCTCAGACTGGAACTTCTTGGACCTGAAGATTTGCAGCAGGCTACTGCAACAACTGCCCATGGAGAAGGCCGCCTCGGAGTCCCCCTCGTCCCCGTCCTCTTCCTCCAGCTCATCAATCTTGGCCTTAATGCGTTTCTCCTCCAGCCCCAGCTCCACCGAGCGGGGCCGCACCTCCCCTTGCTCCCCCAGCTGTCGAGGGCTGGCATTGTTGGGGGCAGCGGGGGAATCACTGCCGGGCGGGTGGCGGGACCGGTGACGTCGGCTGTCGTCACCGTGCTCCTGCCAGGCGGATTTGGACCTAAAGCTCATCATCCTGCAGCCGCTCTCCCCGCGGCTACGGGGCTCGTAGTCTTCCTCGCTCCTCCACCTGCTCGACATGCGGGAGGCCTTCTTGCCCGAGGACCTGTTGGGAGGCGGCGGGTAGGAGTAGCCATTGGCCCGGGCCTCCGCCTCGCCCCAGGCCGAGCGGTGCTGCTCGGTGCCTGCCCAGGGCGCGGGACCGCCGAAGCCCGGGGGGCTCACGCTGTTGGACCGGGACATGCCCTAAGGGACGGGGCCGCGGGCGAAGGGACAACCGCCGGGCAGGCGCGGGGGACGAGAAAAAAAAAACAAACACGAAAGGCAGCGAGCAGGGAAAAAAAGTTTAGGGGAAAAAAAGAAAAAAAAAAAAAGAGACAAAACCCGCAAACGCCCCCAAAGTCTCCGGAGCAGCCGGGCGTCCCCGGAGCCGGGGTGTCCCCGGCGGGACGCTCAGAGCAGCGCCATCGCCGGCCCCGGCGCTTCGACACCGCCGAGCGCGCTTGGCACCGCGGGGCCCGGGGCGCCCCCGGCTCACGGCTGCTCGCCCTCAGCCGCGCGGCGGCGGCCGCAGGGGCTCGGGGCGCCGCGGGGGACCCGC